CTAATTTGGTTGGATCTTTCTCGGATCTTTCTCAAATTATTTTCCGAGAATTTTGACCCAGACGGAGCGAAGATGGACGAAGACACCGATTCTTCATACTGCTTAATCATGTTAAATGAAAAAAAAAATTAACTACAACAACAAATACTGTTGACTTAAAAAATTGGTTCGCACCCGACAATCAATTACCCCAAAATAAGCTCTTTAACAAACCCCGGAACAAAGTCATAATCCTCAGTTTAAAAGCAACATACTAAACGTTGTGTTGTAAGATACACTGACAAAATTACCGTAACTAGTAACTATTGTAAAATATGAAATTCTTACCTAAACCCCAGTTGATCTTGGATGATGCTATAAAGAGTATCAACTGATCCGTCCAATGCGAGACGTGCAAGACAACACCGAAGACAAGACTGTCCTAAATCGGAATGACGTCAGGATCCCAAAGGTGTGGCCAGCGGGCTGTTGACACATCGCGCCGCGGAGGTGTAAAAACATTTCCACGTCTTGTACCAATAAAAGTCAAGCGTGAGCTCTTCTTCGAGCATTTCAGTAACGCGCAATCGAAGCATTAATCTCTGTAAACAACAGCCCTGAAGATTTACAGCATTCTTTCTTGATTCGACAAGATAACAAAGCTTTACTGACTTGAGCGAAGATGACTAATTGGCGTGTGGCGGTCTTGTGTATCTCCATGCTTCTCGCATTCTGTGGCTATGGTGAGTTGGACTTTCCCTATTAGCGAGAAATTGTGCGCCATTGTCGATATAGCTGGGTAGCTTTTGATCGATCTCTTTCATCAAACCCTTACAATGGCAACAGTGAATTTAGACTGAGCCAGATAAACCTGACCTCTAAACAAAATATCGAAGCTATCGGCACTTAACTAGGACCAAAATATTTAATATCGAATTATCACACTCCCATTGATTCTTGCATGCCAGTAGCAGCCTTAAATTAATGAAAGAGAGACAATTTTGACTGCTATAAAAGCAACTTTGCCAGTCCTTTTTTTTAAAGCGATTAGGATTTCTTTGAACACTTTCGTTTCAGCGGATTCTAATTGCGTTGTGCATGTGTTTATTTTTTCGATACGGCAAAGTCTAATACACACTCCGACAGGACCGTCAGAGAGTTTTCTACACAGAAGGAAAGAACTGAACGTAGTTCACATAAACGCTAAAAAATGGCGAACAGTTGGACAGAGCGAGCTGCTGTGCATGAAATTTACACACTAACAACGCTCTATCTACGACGGAGACGTTTTCGCTGTGTGACAAGCAAGTGCGAAATTTGACCCGTGGAATGTTAGACGCGAGGGGAAACATATTTGTACGAAAAATATTGTTAGCGAGTTTCACCTGAACAAGACAAAAGAACAACTTGTTATGGCGATCTGGCGTATCTCTATCGATTAAACGACTCAGACCCTGTAGCTGTAGGTTGGGCGAGTGTTTCGCAATGAAACCGGTACGCACCAGCGGGGATGCTCTGCAAGTTCTGCCTGCCAATTTGTTGACTTGTTGACTTCCGGCTTGAGGGGTGCTCTTGAAATAATCGGCCAATTTATTCAAGTTTGCTGTTTGATGTCGATGTCATAACCTTATTCCTTGCTTGGTTTATTGTTATTTTTTGGCATAAATTTTTTGTACGCTTAAAAAATGAAACTATATGAAAAAAAGTACATTGGAGAAAACAAACTAAATGACCGCCGTTTGCCAAAAACGCCGTCTGGCACCATCCTTAAACATCATCAGCTAGTCAGATTATTAACCTCACCCTGTGTTTAACCAATCCGGCCACTCCATCCTTCTAATATCCCCTTGGAACTACAGCAATACCGGTATTCAAAACAACCGTGACTCTATCAAAAAAGCACGCGAGGCCGGGTGCGCCTGAAACGAGGCTGAGACAGGGAGCTAACGCTCGCTAAAGCTCGCTGGGATCGCTTTGTTAAATAGCCTTTCAATCTCCACAGCATCTTAGCATACCTAATACTCAAAGGAAGAGAGGACAGGCGTTTCGACTGTCTGTTTTTGCGGTATTTCTAGCATATGTTCGTTACATTCCCCCACCTAATTCTTTTATTTCCGTTGTTTCACAATATTGTCTTACAATGCACACGCAATGGGCTTTAGCTGGGATACCCGTCGGCGTACCTTATAGGCAAAGCGAATACAAACACGCGATGAACTTGATTAGTGGTATTTAGC